CTCTCTCTCTCTCTCTCTCTCTGTCTGTCTCTCTCTCTCCCTCTGCCCCTCTCCCATCCCTCTCTAAAATAAAAAAATAAAAAATAAATAAATGGATAGACTGTCTTGATGTTACTTTGTTGTTGTTTTCTGCTTCTAATTACAAAACCGCCGATTTCTACCAAGTCCTAGCAGTGAAAAATAGCACATTATTATTATTAATGCAAACTGGAAAGCAGCCCATTATGCTAAGGTTGCAGTGTTGTATACTGCTACAGCACCTGTATCATTAAGGTAACACAGTACAGAGAAAATAATATAGTACAACATAATGAAATGTAATATGCTACAAATATTCATATTTCTCTACTACTCAAATTGCTTTAGTTCATACAATGGGATTAAACATCATCAGTGTCTCATTGTCTTTTAGAGTATTGTGTCCCACTAAAAGTACGCTACTTGAATAAATTTAAAAGCACTGAGATATACCACCTATAAAACAAAGGATGGTTTGTAATACAAAGTTTATGAGCTTAAGTGTAATTTTAAAAAGTTTTTAAAATAGGTATCTTGTTTACTTCATATTTTCAAATAATAGTGTGATTTTTTTTTCCCTCTAGTATATGTTAGTATATAGCTCAAAGAGAAATCACTGTTGTATTTAAGGTTTCATGTTTTGCTTTCAGGTTGATTAATCATACAAAGAAACTGATGGAGAAGGAAGAAAAGTTGTGCATTAAAATTCTCCAGACTTTACGAGAAATGCTAGAGAAGAAAGACAGCTTTGTGGAAGAGGTAATATGGTTTTAATGTTTAGTATTTGAAAATCAAGTAAAATTTTTAGAATACTGTAACCAATGAATTACACAGGCTATGATACGATTGCTTGTATTACGTACCGATGGCATGTGTACTTAGATGAATTAGATAATCTCAGTTTTTATGGCATTCGTCTTTCGTGTCTGCTTTCAATTGAGAAAAAAAACAACTAAGATTAGAATGGCTAAGTATTTGGGTTATTTGTTTTATTATATTTTATCTTGAATATGTGTATTTTTCTCATGTAGACCAATGACCTTTTTTACAATGAACAACTGAGATTCATGATTAAAATTTCATATAAAGTTCTGCTGAGTATTGAAATGGCCCATGCACTTGGGCACATGTTGATCTTTTATTGTAAATAATTGTCTGGTCCATTTTCTATAATGTTATGCCAGGTATTATAAAATAATACTATTTTTTATAAGCAAAATAGTATGTTTCTATTCTTACCTGTATTAAGTATTGCACAAATGATTCTCAGGGAGTAGAACTTAGAGATAATAATTGTCATTCTGTTATTAAAAATGACAGCTCAGGTGCTCATTAGGAGATAGCTAGCAGCATGTTTAATACCCAAGGTGATACACTTAAGTATAAAATATAAATCCAGGGGAGGTTTTTTTTTTTTTAAGCTAGCTACCTATACCTATAAACTCTTAGGTATCAAACAAAATGTGTACATGTTCCTTAATAACTTTTGGTATGATTCCATAAATACTCATCATCTGATATATTTAAAATTGGAAGAATTTATTTATTAATTTATGTATATGCTATCTAATTCCAAAAAGATCATATGGTAGTTTTTTGTTGTTGTTGTTGTCATTTTTAACTTAATCCATAGAAAATAAATGTAATGGCATCTTGGGTATTCATTGAAGGGGTATAACTTCAAAATACTCCATTTGAATCAGAGGCTTGCTTTATACCCAAAATGATTCTTGCTTTGCATTAATTCTCTTCATCATTTCATCTATCTTTGGGAAGCAAATTATGGAAATAAAGGTTGTTAGTGCTATTTTGGCAAATGCTTCTATGACCTAGGACTCAAGAAAAATGCTCATAGGTCTGAGTTTTTGGCATAGTTGTAAAAAATGGTAAATTTCAGACTTCCTTGTTGTCCTTTTCCAGTTTCTTAAAATATTGCTCTAGATGGTTTGATTTTGACTGAAGTACTAGATCCTAAATAGAAAGATGGGGTCAATATAAATTTTTGACAGAGGAGTGAGGTTTACGGTAATAGTAACTTGTGGTTAACAGGAGACACATGATAAGAGTTGCACTTTTATGTAACAGATTATTATTGAACTATTCTCAAGGAAAATAAGAAAGAAATCAAAGAAGATTTTACTTTGACTAGTCAAGAGTATTTGAGTGTATCTCCCAAACCACCCTAGAATAAATCATGCTGGCGCCTGTTCCTCCTTTCCATTCCCACTGCTCTCACTGGTTCAGGCTTTCACTATCCCTTGCTTACAAGACTCCAGTAGTCTGCCTCTCTGAGACAGAGCTGGAAGGGAGGCAGAGATGCTGTTTTCAAAAGTCCAAGAGGCACCATTGACATATTATGTGAATGGCACCACCAGGACATAGCCTTTAGGGAAGAGTTAAGATGAGAAAGGCTAGTTGGGCTTATTCACTCAGTCATTTAACACATATACTGTGAGCCATATTAAATACTGGTTATTGTGCCTGGTCACTGGGGATAAGTGACACAGCTTGCCAAGAGCCACTGCACATGCCACAGCTCACATGCTAGACGACTCCTGGAATAGTCTGCAGAGATCATAAAAGCCTTTCAGAAACTTTCAGGGGCTCCGCACTGCTTTCATATTCCAGACTCTCTCTTATGTCCCTAGTGCTTTCTCCCCCCACCCTTCCTCATCCATTTACCTCCAGAAATCTGTGTTAATGTGTGCCTGACATGTCCCTCAGGCTTACCCTGCACTGAACATTTGGAATCATGTATTGCTAAAATCCAGACAAACCTCAATAACTCCTAGTGATATTTTTGTGGAGGAGCTCTGATGGGTGGTACTTATCAGTTGTTCCAGTCAGCGACGATGACTTTCTCAATAGAATTACCAAAATACATTGTGCCTCTCTTTTATGACACTTCAGGCTATTTCTGAGTATGTAGCCCAAGTATTTATAAATAATGTCATTGAGACCCAGAGAGGTTATGTGATTTGCCTGAAGTCACACAGCAAATTCCAGACCAGGACTTAAATTAGCTCAATTATTCGTCTCATTGGAGGGGAGTTAAATGATTCACCACTCTGGGTGAAATGACTCTCGCGATAGATTCAGAAAATAATCAAAACTATTATTTTACACTCATTGTGTGCTCTCAGAAAAAAAAGAAGCCTGGTTATCGGTAGCAGGATCATAGGCTGTTTTCATGATTGTATTAGTTTTCCATTTACCAAAAATTTAGTGGTTTAAAATCACACAAGTTTATTACCTTATAGTTTGGGAGGTCAAAAGCCTGAAATCAAGGTATTGGCAGGGATACATTCTATCTGGAGACTGTAAGGGAGAATTTCTTTCTTTGCCTTTTCTAGTTTCTAGAGCCTCCTGCATTCCTGACTCAGTCCTCCATCTTCAAAGCTGGCAACGTTGCATCTTCCAACCTCCCCGGCCCCCAACCACCACCACGTGCTCTCTCTCAGACACACTCACTCCATTGTCATATCTCCTTCTCTTACTCTGACCCTTCTGCCTCCCTCTTATACTTAGGCTTATATTGGACCCACCTAGATAATCCAGTATACTCCCCCTATCTTAAGATTCTTAATCACATCTGCAAAATCCTCTTGCCATGTAGCATATTCACTGGTTCTGGAGGTTAGGACATAGACACATTTGTGGAGGGCCACCATTCACTATATCACAATGATTCTTTTACTGACAGTGAGAAATGACATGTAGTACGTAGATGGAATGTTTACTTGTGGCTGATTAAAATTTCTGGGTAGGACAGTATAAATGTAAATGAATGTAACAAAAAATGCTTTGAATTTATAGCGCTTTGCTGTTTTCAAAGTATTTTAAAATACTTTGCTACCTTTGGACAGCTCTAGGAAATATGTGGGGCTGGTGGTGTTATCTCCACATTTGTAATGTGGAGACACTCGGAATGGTGTGAAGTCACAGAAGGTACCTAATCTCTTGTCTAATATCTGGATTTCTACCATCAACTGTTTTTCTACTATCTGTGTATCAAAGCATTTCCAAAAGATCTCTCAGAAGTCAAAACAGCAAATTCATACCAGGGTTTTTCACACTAGCTATCCTAATACAGGTTTCCTCTGCTATCCCAAAGTGGAATGTTCTCTAAAACCTTTCATAGGCCAAAATGGTGTAAAACAAATAAGCGATTACAGTTAATTAATTAATCGATTTTAAATGTTTATTTATTTTGAGACAGACAGAGAGAGAGAGAGAGAGAGAGAGCAGAAGAGGGGCAGAAAAAAAAAGGGAGAGAGAGATTCCCCCACAGGCTCAACACTCAGTATAGAGCCCAACGCGGGGCTCAGTCTCACAATCTTGAGATCATGACCTGAGCCAAAATCAAGAGTCAGATGCTGAACTGACCGAGCCACCCAGGCACCCCTGCACCATTAATTTATATGGAAATTTTTTATGCATTCCTAGGCCTAAAATATAGTCTCTCTAAGGCTTTTCTAATACCTCAGGGCACACCTTGCTAATGAATGCACAGAATAAATAAAAACAAAGCACAGGTGCTCACAGACACAACTCAAAATTCTGGTGACTTCATGTTGCGATGCTGAGTGTGGTTCCCAGGGAAGGAGCTTGGTGGGGCCATTCCCACTGCTTGAGGTCCCTGCTGCCTCTATAAGAGCTGTCCAGCTCTCCGGCAAAGCAAATGTTGAATGCCTTTTTTGCTTTTGCCTTTTATTGTAGAAGTGAAAGTCTTCAGAGTTCTTTCAGTTAGCAAAAACAGGTACTAATATAGGTCTTTTATAAATGCGAAGTGATGTGCCATGAACTTGCAAAAAGTGCAGGGATACATTTGAGACTCCACCTGTTTAAATTTAAAACCTTAAAAAAAAAATCACCATTTACATTTATGTTTCTTTGGTCTCTGATATCCGAAGTTGTGTCTGTTTGTGTAGCTGATAAAATGAAAATAAAATAGAACAATGAAGCACAAATTTACTTCATGGTTGAGTTTGATGCCCTTTGAAGCAATTTCCAACTTTAAGATCTCAGTTTTCTGATTTTATTTGCCTTCTCTGTATGATATATTAAAAAAAATTTTTTTAAATGTTTATTTACTTTTGAGAGAGGAAGAGAGACAAAGCACGAGTGGGGAAGGGGCAGAGAGAGAGTGAGACACAGAATCCGAAGCAGGCTCCAGGCTTTGCGCTGACAGCAGAGAGCCTGATGTGGGGCTTGAACTCATGAACTATGAGATCATACCCGAACCAAAAGTGAATGCTTAACCGACTGAGCCACCTAGGCGCCCCAATTCTCTGTATGATATATTAAGTAGAATCATCATGTAATTACATTTTATGTGGTATTTAGTCAATTATTTAAAAACATTTATAATTTATAATACTATGATTGCAATTCCTAGATGAATTTTACTTAGTATTCTTCCTTGTTTCATGTTTCTTAGTTTGTGCCAAAAATTTGAGAAATAAGATGGGCAATAGCTTGAAGATTTCCAATAGACTATTATAAGTAGAGGAAAATTTAATTTTCTGTTATGTGTGTCTCTGTGTGAATCATCTAGTGATCATACATGTACCATATGTTATGGTATAAATTATAGTACTTATTTTTATTGAAGGATAAAACATGAAAATTATATATAAAAAGTCCTTAAAGGGAAAAATTACTAGAGTTTTATAAAAATTCCATGTAAGTATTGTTTGTTTAGGTGATTCTGGTAGGAAAGCAAAAAACAAATTACAAAGGATATAATTCTAACAACC